CAAATAAATATAATTAATTTTGCATTTTGCAATTCTTAAATTACTAATATTATAATGTTATTATTTGGGATCAAAGAATCTACTGCTTTGGCAACTCATGCACCTCCAAACCAACATAATGGTTCTTTGCTTCTAGAAAAGGCAAGAATAACCATGCAATATTCTTCCAAAAAAAAAAAAGTTACTAATAATGGTAACAAACATATAATTAATATAATGAAAATGATTTACTGGATGGCAAAAGAAAATGTTCCAATTTCCAAACTTCCAAGTCTTATTTATATTTTAAAACTTATAGAAATAGTGCACTCAATTTCATTTTCTAATGTAGATTGTGAAAGAGGTTTTAGCAAACAGAATATTATCAAAACAGATTTATGTAATGCAATGGAAAATGACATATTGCATTTATTAATGATGGTTGGTTTAGAAGGTACTGGTTTATTTTGTTATGATTTTAGTGATGCTCTTAGTAATATTCTTCAAAGTAAAAACTAAAGTATAAAATAAAGAAAATTCTTAAATTTGAAAAAAAAATTCCTTTTTTTAAATTTTTCTTCCGGAAAATTCTTAGCATTCAGGAGGGTTTTCCGGGGGGGTTTTTCAGACCCCTGGACTCTAGTCACAATAAAAGTTCGATTTGAAATCTCATACATCCATTTTTGGAAGTTTTATGTAACCAGTACGATTTTCGAAACATTTTTGTTAGAAAATTATCTCATTATTTTTTGCTTTTTCTGCTTCTGTCAATTGGTCACAACATTGATGTAAGATGCCATCATTATGCAATTCAATACTTTTTGGTCTCTTTTCGTACGTTTTAAAGATTTGGAAAAAAATTAAAGTTTTCGTACTCCTCCCCTAATATGATTGTTTGGGTCCTGCGTAATTTAATAGAAACAAGATTCGGATAATTTCTTCCAGGGAGTCCAGTTTAAAGGCCTAAATTTTGTAAATCTACTGCATCAAAAATCCGCTCGTGTCAACAAGGTCTCAAATAGACGAACATAAAGTTCTGTCCTGAACACATTGATATTGAACGCCCTTTTTTATCATAGAGACTCTTTTTCGATGAATAAAAATGGAAAAATTGTCCACGGATTACCCAAGAATTATTATTATGTATTTAGCATACACACAACCATTTACGATTTAATCCATTTTTGTACATTATCAATCATTTTAAAATAACAATAAATAAAGCACGTAATGTTAATTTGTAATAGTTACACACTATTAAATTTAGGAAAACTGCATTGTATTCAATATTAAATTTGTCATCTTTCCGTCAGATATGTGCAAGGTGATCACCATACACAATACATATTAGTATTATCTTTTTGTTGTTGTTGTTTCAAACGGAAATAAATTAATATTACTAAACAATTTTACCATTAATCAAATGACCTCATTAAAAATTTTGAAATAGTATAAATACTACAAAATTTTTTTTTATTTCCGCATAATTTATTTTATTGAATACTATCCACAAGTATTTTTGCAAAAAACTCGGTTACTACATTTACATCAAATAATAATATTATTATTTCACAAATGAATAACTCAAAATTATTTTTTTCTTCTACCAATCTAAAAATTAAATTATTGGAACCAAACCTTTTCCTACGGGGAAATTCTCGAGAATCATTAGGTTGCTTTTTAAGAGGTGAACTAATATTAACCTTAAATAAGCCAACTAAAATAAAAAAGTTAGAATTGAAATTTAATGGTAATTCGAAAACTTTTTGGCCAGAAGGTAGAATCTATTATGGTAAGTTATTAATTTTCTTGAACAGATAATTTTTTAATCTTTTATTTATTATAATAATAATAATTTAAATAATTTAATAATAACAACAACAATAATTTATTAGAATCTTCAAATGATAATGGCCTACATGAAGAATACGAATTAATATCAAAAAATTGGACATTTTTATCTCATAAATCGTCCAACAATCAACTACCATCATTATCATCACCATCGTCATCATCATCGTTATCATCATCATCATCATCATCATCATCATCATCATCATTGAAACAACAAGGACTACAATCAAATTCACATTTAAAAAATACCATTCGCAAATTAGCTCCAAAAGATTATACCATCCTTCAACCCAACATTTACACCTTTCCCTTCGAATTGTTTATACCTGGCGATTTACCAGAAACAATAGAAACTGATCTAGGGAGTGTCTCTTATAAATTGAGTGCAACTCTCTTTAGATCAGGGTTTTCGTCAAATTTACACGTGTCACAACAAGTGCCTATAATACGTGCTTCTATACCCGAAGAAATAAATTTTGAAGGCATTGTCACTTATAGCGAGTGGAAAGATTTATTCGGTTACGAAATCTTGATACCGAAAAAAGCATACCCCATTGGTCGACCTATAGAAATATGTTTGAAATTAATACCAAAGGTCAAAAATTTAGATTTTGTTGAGTTAAAAGTAAAGCTAAAAGAAAGTTGTATTTACAAATCAAAAGATCGCAAGAAACAAGAATCAAAAGTTTTAAAAACTATGAAAATCGAAAATTTGGATAAAGGGATTGACGAAATTAATAATAATCTTATTTATCATAAAAATATTTCATTTATTTTATCAAAACCATCAAAAAAAATTCACTCGTCATGCAAAACAACTTTTATCTCGATAAATCATTATTTAGAATTCATATACACCATAAAAACTTCTCCCAACTCCAAAATTTACAATGGTGATAATAGTAATAATAATAACATCACTATTAACGCGGATGGCGATAATAACAATGATGATGATGAAAATCGCAAGCAATTATTCATAACGAGATCATTACCAGATTTTGAAAAGAAGAAAATAGATGTTAAAGTTGATATACCGATAATTTTATTTTCTTGTAAATATTACGATGATTTGCCTCAATATGAAAGAATCAATTATGGTCATGACGAAAATAACGAATTTTCATATTTCTTTGAAAGTGATAATAGTTATAATAATAATAATAATAATAATTTATTATTTAATTATTCTCCACCAAATTATGAAAATTCCGAAGAAAATTACATAATGAACATTTAATTATCCTCTCCTACTTTTTAAACATTTCTCCCGTAGTATTAGTAAAAATCTAACTTTTACTACCTTTACTACCTTTTGAAGAAAATTATATAAAAAATGTTTTATTTATTTTCTCGATTAGCTCATAGCGCCACTGCGCCAAATTCTAAAATCGCTCGATTTTTTTTGTATGCGGGTAAAGTGCTGGATAGAATTAAGAACCCTTTATACATACACTGCCTGGAAGAAAATATCGGAACCTCATGATTTATTAATTACACAAAAACCTACATAATAATTATAAATAAAATTTATATCATCATGTAACTTAGGTCTTGAAGAATATTTATATAAAATTCCACACTTCTATCATTCATGTTTATTTTTTGGTTTAAAAAAAAACAAACTTCAATTAAATAAAAAAAAATATTAATCATCAAAATAGAAACAAAATTTAGTATTTTGTTGGCCATCCATTATTGGATATGCATGCCTCGATTCTTCTTGGCATGCTTTCGATTAATTTGTTATAACTTCTTCAAGAATGTTAGACCATTCCTCTTGCAAAGCAATATCCGATTCTTGAGCATTTTTGGGATGATTTTCACGTTTTTTTAATCTTCTTTCCAAAGATGCTCAATTGGATTGAGATTCAGGAGATTGCGATGGCCAGTAATATACTAATATGTTCTATCAATATTAATATTAATATAATTGCAAGAATCATTTTCAATGTTACAGGTGGAATTCAACTCACTCTCCAATTCATTTATTCCGTACTACTGCCATTTGTTGACCTGTCAGCATGTAAAACTGTCTCTTTCGTTTACACAATCATCATTCTGATCTATAGAGTTTCTCTGTCAGCTTTTTTATTATGGAGGATAAATCATATTGGTGAAACGGAATTTGACAAGCAGAGTGCTTATATTTTATTTTCTATAAGAATGATCTTACAAGTAATTAATAAATATATTATATTTACATAATATATACATATATAATAATAACAATGTGCTTGATTTTTTTAGATTATACATATTGGTCTATTAAAACCAACAATTACTTTGAATACTTCCACACCAAATATTCATCCTGTCCATTGTGATTCGAACCTTTCAACAAATATAGTTATTTGGGGTTGTATTATAGCAGATTTCTTGATCAATATTTATGTATCAATTCGATTATTTACAATAATGGGTTCAGCCAATAGAAGTCTTAGTATTAGTATTAGCCGTTTTGGTAACACTAGTACTAGTGCTACAGTATTTTCAGCTGTCTTATACTGGAATTTTTCTAGAATTTTTTTTGCAACTTTATTAAATTCCATACGGTTATTGATGTAATTAAACCTTTCAATTTGGATTCTGCATTCAGCCCTTCGTTGAATTTTGTTGCTTGTATTGCAATGTCTTAGCATGTCACCTATGATAAAGATTTTGTGAGATATATTGCCGATAAAAATATTAACAATAATAATGATATACCTGGCTTCTAAGCGGATATTATTTAGTAATAATCTTGTATGTATATATATATATATATTAATATATATAAACGATAACCTTTATTCATAATAATAATAGAGTAATAGTAGAAATTACTTATCTGTAAAATCTTTCTTAAATTGTATAAAAAATAGTTTAACAATAGAATAGAAAATTATATATAAAAAGTCTTCATCTCCAATAACTTCATGAATTTCGATTTGTATTGTATTAGATGTTTCAGTAACAGAAAGTAAAATTATTGTGTAAGGTCATGTTACCAAAGAGATGTCATTCTTGATGCATCAGGAAATTTTTTCTGACGCAAGTTTACATCCGTAAGTTTTAATATGAAATGACATAATATTTCGCATAAAAAGGACATAATATTTACACTGAATGTAATAATTGCGTAATTTTTGTGCAATTTTTGCATAA